AGAAAATAATCTCAAGAGCTGCAAAATGTCCGACATTTAATTAGTTCTACGTGCCTTTATGAACGACAAATATACTGAGCCAAATCAATTCCTGGTACCACTTTGCACACAACTGGCTTCCAAATTACACCAGAAAAGAACATAGTTCATCTGCTTTTTCAGTGCATGCTACCTATTTTCAAGACGCTATGATTTTTCAATGCCAGCACAGACCAACAAATTCAAGGAGCACTTTTTTATCTATGAAAAACCAAGAGATTGATTTTCATAGATAAAATATTCCACTTTATTAAAGGGAAGGTTCCAGCAGGCTGTCTTCATTTAATCAAAATACAAAGGGAAGAAATGTGGGCTTTTAAATTGTCTATACTTCACTTTCTTTTGTATTAACTGACAGCTGCACTAATTAAAAAAGCCCAGTGATAGAAAACAGATCAACTGTGCCCATGGCCAAGAAACTATGTATTTATGTGCAATGCAGATATATTTTTATTCTATCTTCGTAAAACTATTACGAAAAATGTACTAATGAAATGAGTGATTTGGAAAATATGTTTCATATAATCATTGCAGTTGGAAAGTCATCTAGCCCAACCCCCTATGCTCCAAGCAGCGTCAACGAGTACCAGTGAGTGAGCTGACTTATTGCAAGGAGAGTAGCACATCATACACCTGGTAACTTGTTTGAGGAGTATCTTTTTTTCGGTTTTCTCCTTTTCTTTTCCATAGCTTACTTCACATTTTTTTTTAACTTCAAGTAAGAGAGAGAACAATTTTCCCACAATCATTCTACTCAAAGAGCAAAAATGAGTGGGGTTTTTTTTCAGTTTGCTTAATATCAGGCATTATTCTGTTCTGACTTCTGCTTTTGCAATAACTTACCTACTGGTTTCATGTTAGGTGTGTATATAAGATCTTTCAGGATTGTGGCTTGAACAGCCCTATGACCACGCTAAATCAAAGTATCATTTGGTACCAGTTCCCTCTTTGGAATCAATTGATATGAAAGAGTAAACAACTTGGAAATCAGCAGATTATTTTTGCCAACAGACTCTGCTCTGCAAGTTAGTTGGTGTTTGTACATATTTTCTAGAACTATGGAAGTCTGCATAGTTATGCTTTACTCATAGCATGTTGAATTCCGTGATCATGCATGAGTAAAGGTTAATTAAAGTACTCAAAATCAGCCACACCAGTAAGGTTTTTTTTTTTCAATAAATCTGATTCCAGATGTGATGCGGCAACTAAAAGCAGTTGTAAGCACTAAGGGGGAGTTCTGCCAAAACAGCTACCTGGGCTTAAATGAAGAAACAATTACTGGACTCCAAATGAAATTGTAGGTAACTGTCCTAGTTTCGGCAGGGATAGAGTTAATTTCCTTCCCAGTAGCTGGTACAGTGCTGTGTTTTGGATTTAGGGTGAGAACAATGTTGATAACACAACGATGTTTTAGTTGTTGCTAGGTAGTGTTTACACTAGTCAAGGACTTTTCAGCTTCCCATGCTCTACCGACTGAGAAGGCTGGGGGTGCACAAGAAGCTGGGAGGGGGCACAGCCAGGACAGCTGACCCAAACTGGCCAAAGGGATATTCCATACCATGTGACGTCATGCTCAGTATATAAAGCTGGGGGAAGAAGAAGGAAGGGGGGGACGTTTGGAGTGATGGTGTTTGTCTTCCCAACAAAGGGAAGTAACCATTACGCGTGATGGAGCCCTGCTTTCCTGGAGATGGCTGAACACCTGCCTGCTGATGGGAAGCAGTGAATGAATTCCTTGTTTTGCTTTGCCTGTGTGCGCGGCTTTTGCTTTACCTATTAAACTGTCTTTATCTCAACCCATGAGTTTTCTCACTTTTAACCTTCCGATTCTCTCCCTCATCCCACTGGGGGGGGAGTGAGCAAGCGGCTGCGTGGTGCTTAGTTGCCGGCTGGGGTTAAACCACGACAGTAACCAAGAAGCTTGATGCTGTATAGTTATGTGACGAAACTTAAGCTGATCTTAAAAACACAAGCTGTGAGTTGTAGCTTTGCTTTCTCAGGCCAGCACTGCTTGGATGCAGAGGCTGCTCTGTCAGATTTCTCTTAGGGGTTGCAACAGAGTTACATTTCTCCCCCCTGAGCTTCACCTAACAGGAAAAATGATCTTTTACAGCTTTCCAGTAGTTACTCTGCCTGAAAATACCATATATTCCACAAAAGCACCTGAACTCTCTGCAGGTCTAACCACACACATTAACTTGAAAAGGGCAGACTAGGTATCAGTTGATCTTAAGTTAAACCTATCTCTGTTATTATTTTTTAAATACAATATGGATGTAATCCTGCAGGGCACACTCTGCGAGGGTTGTACTAAAGTAAGAACTGCAAGATTCAGAGCTCCATCAAACAACGTCAGTTTTGCTCTCAGGCATTGATATAAAAAAGCACATATTCCAGGTGGTCTGGTTTATATAAATACACTCCAGAGAGACTTTGACTTCATTCTTCAGAAGCATAAAAGGAAGGAAAATATAGCCTATGAATTTTGATGTACTAAAGTACAGAGATGCATATAGCATTATTTCAGCAATATAATTACTTGGCATTTAGCAAAACTTACAAAACTGCTATTATCGATGCTAGTAAATATAAAAATTTTGAGTGTTAAACTGCCTTTTTTTACATCTAGGCAACTTTATCAACTTTAGTCTAAGTTCAGCATAGTTGTTCAGATAAAATAGAAAGCAGAATTTAGCTTTTAGCTTTCTTGCAGAAAGGGTTTTTATGGCTTATAACATAGAAAATTCACGAGAGCATGCCTGAAGCTGAATACCTAACAGTAAATATATTTGTTGTACTACTGTACATTGACTTTTAATGCAGTGTCTGCCCCTAAGATTAGTGGCAGCAGAGAAAGACTTCTCACCTGGTTCACCACAAGCAGGTCAAGGAAGTCATGAGACAACAGGCCCAAGGGTTGCAGAACAGTGCCTCTGATCATGAGAAACTCTTTATGTCTACTCAGAAAGCAGTAAAAATAAATGTTTAATCTTGAGTGGTGGGAATATATTTTAACTGTTGCATAAAATAAACACATTCAGGAAAACATTTAACAGCAGAGATAACTGGCAATTGTAACTATTTGCTACAGGGTGACCCTGCTTTGCCTGAGTAAGGACTGCACTGCCAGGCCAAATACTTTGAAGATGCAAAGGGCTATCCCAGTGTGTTTGACTGCTCTTCTCCAATTACAGTACTTTCGATTTATAGCAGCAATAGGAATGACTCCAAGCTTCGGTTCTTTTGGCTTTTGCTTAGAACAGAAGTTGGGCCTAATCCTGCATTCATTTTGTACCCAAACTCTACCGAGCCTTATCAGGTATTCAAAATTCTGACTAATGTCTGTGAGAGTACTTGTTACAAAGGAATGAAGGACAGAGCCAGTTGTAAGGAAAGCTGCACCTTAGAAAAAAATACCCAGTACTTTCCTCCATCCATTTTTAAGGGAAACACACAATTTTCAAAAGCAGGATTTTAATGTCTTTATCTAAGGCCCCAAATATACATTCCTTCTGGCTCCCAAAACTCCATGTGAGTGTTAGTTTTGCTTGAATAAGGCCTGCAAGATCCATCCCCAAATCTTGCTCCTTGTTAAATTGAATGGAAATTCAAGTGACTTCAGTGGGATCAGAATAGATCCTTCGGCCACTGCATGTTGCCCAGATATTTTAGCCACCTTTTCTGCAGTACAATATTGTCTAAATCTGTTTTCACTGACCTGTAAGACACTACAGATTGTTGTTAAAGGAAAGGGTAGAACACAACAGGAAATAATGTTGCTTCGGGAATTTTACCATTAGTAAGTTTCTTTCCCCTCACATTTTCTTGTAAGATCAAAGATCAAACTAAAATGATTAAGTACACAGTCAAGTAACTTTAAACCTACAGATCAAAATTATTCTCAAAATGTTCAAATACTTAAAAATATGCACTCAAGTTTACTTCTAAAAAGCACTTTTCCAACAAACTTAAGCTGATATCTAATAGTCTAAAATGCAGAGCTGTACTTTATCCTATTGTTTGTCCATGGGCAACGTATGGGGCCACAATGTATTGAAATCATAATCCTTGCTTTCTGAAGAGAAATTGTTCTGTGTAATAATTTCTGAGATGTGGTTTAAATTCTTGTCCTCCTCTAAGCAATTTCAGAAGTCATCTAAAATTATAATCAAACATGCTCAAACATATTTGTGGGCTTAAAAACATGGTGTGATCATGGTCAGCAAACACTGGATAGAAGGTCAAACCGAACACTTCTTAACAGGTCAAGAGTAAAAAAAAATTATAGAAAGATGAACCTCAAAAATCTATTACAGGGGTTACCTAAACCTTGCCCGGCTGAGGACCACATTGGCGGTTTGCCATGAGCACAAAGGCTTCATTAAGTCATGTTATATGGAAGAGACTGAGTCACCTTTAATATGGCAAGTTGGTCCATAGAGATGACAGGTGCCAATAGGCAATATGCCACCCTGATGTTTGCCATAGGGCTACATAAGATTTAAGAGGAAGAAAATAAGTCATCGCATCCGCTCATGTAGAGTTTATGTGAAAAAGGGTGGAAGTGAAGGCAAGGGCAAGAGGGAGATGACGGCCAGGCACATGGGCACTAGGAATATTAATATTTTTCTCAGATGAAAGTCAGCCTCGGGGCACATGACCAGCTACCATCACCACCTGTTACCTGTGCAGGCCTCCCCTGTGGCTGCCTTTGGGAGATCTGCCATGGACATGAAGGAAAGCGGGATTGGTCCCCTGGCCCATGGGCTGCGCTTCGGCCACCCCGTACCTATTAGAAAATGTTGATATTTTTCCCCACTACAACTCACAGAGTGCAAAAACAGCAAGCGTCAAAGTTTGAAACCCAGGCCTTCCCACCCACGCCAGGCCTTGCCTCCCCGGGCAGCTCCCCTGCCCACTCTGCCTTCCATCACCTGCTCCTCTGAGCAGAGGCGACCGCACTACACGGCCAGGTCATCTGACCTGGCTCTGCAGCTGCTCGACTTACTGGCCCTGCTCAAGCGCCGTGTGTCTACAAGCAGCGGTGGCTCATGCATCTCCACAGTGGTGCAGGCAGCTGAGACGGGCCGTTCCTCTGACAGCTCCTCCTCACCCTCCACATCCCACTTGCTGCCGCTTGCCCCACTCAGGCTAGTGCTGCTGCAGCTGTTGGCCGCAGCAACGGGTGGCGCAGCTGGGGGTGGGAGTAGCTGCTCCAGTGGCTCTTCCTGCTCAGGAAGGGGTTGCTGGACACTGCTGGGGGTAGAGGAGCCTGCCGAGCTGGAGGGCACCTTCCCCTGCTGCTCAGCTGCCATGTTGACCCAGTTCTGCTCAGCCGCCAGGGCATGGCTGTTGCTGTTGAAGTAGTTGATGACAGCTGGCGTGGGCGTGGGGATGGGGGTCGGGATGGTGACAGGAGTGGAGATGGGCGTGGGAGTCACAGCACGGTGCCTCTCCTCAGGAACTGATGGAGCAACAGGGTAGCTGGCCATGGAGACCATGTTGGAGGGGGGCCGCGGTCTTGGAGCAGCTGCAGCATAGTACGGTGCCATGGTCACTGGGGCGAGCAGCGGTGTGACAGCACGGGTGTCAGGCAGAACAGGGGGGGGCGTGGCAGTCATTACCACCACGGGTGGTGCTGGTGGTGGCAGGGCAACAGGTTTGGACTCCCCTGTTACCATGACTGGTGTCATTGTTGCGACAGGCATCTCAAGGCTGTACCGGCTTGTCATGCCCTGCTTAAGCTTCTTCCACCCCAAGTGATATATCTCAAGCATGTTCAGCAGCAGGGAGACAGAAGCCACCACCAACATGAAGATGATGAAGATGGTCTTCTCAGTGGGCCTTGAGATGAAGCAGTCCACAGTGTGTGGGCAAGGTGAGCGGCTGCACTGGTAGACTGGCTTTAGCTCGAAGCCATATAGGAAGTACTGGCCCACAATGAAGCCCACCTCAAACAGTGTCTTGAAAATGATGTTGAAGACGTAGGTACGGAGCAGGGCACCCCCCATACGAATTCTACCACGTTCATCACGGATCGGGAGCTTCTCCTTCCCCTTTTTGCCAAGAGGATCCTTGATGTTATTGCTGCCTCCTCCACCACCACTGCCAGACACTGCTGCTCCTGGGTAGTTGCTGTCTTTGATGCTTCCCTTCTTTTTCAGCTCTTCTTTCTCTTTCCTCTTCTCCTCCATGCGTACAATGTGCAGCACATGGCCCAAGTAGATGAGGGTTGGAGTGGAGACAAAAATGATCTGCAGCACCCAGAAGCGGATGTGAGAAATGGGGAAGGCTTTGTCATAGCAAACATTTTCGCAACCAGGTTGCTGAGTGTTGCATGTAAAGTCCGACTGCTCGTCTCCCCAGACCTCCTCAGCAGCGGCCCCCAGCACCAGTATCCTGAAGATAAACAGTACCGTCAGCCAAACCTTGCCAATAACCGTGGAGTGCTCCTGCGCATTCTCTAACAGTCTCCCCAGAAAGCTCCAGTCACCCATTGTTTCAGATTTCTAACCTACAATAAGAACATCAGAGCAATTAGAGCAATGTTAAAAAAATCTTATAATTACACAGTGCCGGGGCAGAACAGATTGATCCTCAACAAATGACATTTCTTAAGTGCACTTCCTTTTGCAAAATATTGCACACTTATGTTAAGAACTACATAACCCTGTGACCATGCAGCCATGGGTTTTGGTGAGCACAGAAGTGGGATGTTCAGTGCTTTCACCCAGCCAACACAGGTTTAAGTGTCTATACACAGTGACAGGCAAAGAAAGATTCATAACCAGTATTTCTACAAGATTTAAATATTTAAGAACCATGATTTCTCTGTTTCCTCCACCTGAGATGCCTCTAACAGTTCTTGCCTATTTTTAGAAAGAACAGATGGAAATCAGTTCAATTAAACAAGAATATTCCTACTATTAATGTGACTGCACTTGTATCAGAGTGTGATACAAAGTTTGCCTAACTCTAATAATTTTATTGTTATCAGGACTTATTTACCCCAGCATTCAGGAGGTTAGTAATGTCCCAGGTCTCTGCTATTTTCATACTGTACAAACACAGAAAAATAATTACTCAAAACCTATAGAATTTACAGTTTAATTTTGGAATGTGTACACCAACAACAAGCATGTTCTCAAAGCCTACTCATGTTTGAGTTTGTTTATTTCTAAAAAGAGAGAATTATTTGAATAACTTGAAATATTGGGAAGAATTAGAAGTTCTGAGAGGAATGGTGGAAAGGTTTCTATGCCATTTCCTCTACTGTCCTGCCAGTTGGTGTTACTGAACCACATGTACTGCAACATTATTTAAAAAAAACAAAACCCAAAAAACTCGAGGGCATTTCAGCAACTGTGCACAGAGATTTTCTCAGAAAAATAAAGTTATATCCTATGACCTCACTTCTGTGATAAACAACTGGTATATATTCTCAGTAGTTTCCACCAATTCATGTATGATGGGCTTCCCATGCCCAATTTCTAGGCAGTGACACAACTTCTGATTTGGAAAGGCTTTTTTGGAAAGGGAAAGTACAAGATTTTTTTTAAGATCGGATTCCTCACAAGCTGCCTTCAATTGAGAAACAAGCTATTATCTGCTGTTATCACTTCTGTTATCCTTGGCCTGTTCCTAACTGGAATATATGTAAGAATATTGGAATACATGTAAGAAGTAAATTTCATTCTCCTAATGAACACACTTCTATATTTTACATGTCAACCTTCAACTGAAAATAAAATACAAAACTTTACTTCCAGTTAACTTCAATACTTTCAGAAATACTTACATCGTAATTACAATTCAGATGTAACAGTTTGCATGCAAAAAAACCACTATCAGAAAAGACTGATTATACCCTTGTTTAAAAATCTCAGAATATTTTATAAATATAACTGAATTACACTTTACTCCTTTTATTTTTATACTTATACTTCCTGTCCAAATACCCATGTGTCTTACAATTCCCAAGAAGAAAAGGTGTTCATCATTACAGGTAGGAATTTACCACTGAGAAAATGTACTGTTCCCAGTATTGTATTTACTGTGATTTCCAGCAATGATGTCACTGTTTTTCCAGAGGAAGCATTTCCAAACTGCCTGAACTTCTTTCAGGCTTTTAGTTAAGATAATTAAAGAAATTAAAGTTATTTCAGTTACTTTTTTTTATAACTTGATTTTACTATGAGGCAATAAAATACCTGTAACTGCAGAATAGTATACTTTCACACAAAAAGCAACAACACACCCATTAGTATTCTGCATTCTTGTAAATCCTGGAATACTAATTCACTTTTTATCCCCACAAAGTTAATTCAACAAAAACTTCCCCTAAAAAAAAATAGATCTTTGATATTCTACAAAAACACATTCCCTTTAATATAATTGAATTCTTTTGCCAGCATAGCACAATAAACTGCAAATGATGATATTAACAATGAAATACCGATCTTGTGTAGTAATGTCCCTGCTCCTAAAACAATTTTTAATTATTTTTTGAAAGATATTCAGATTTTTTTTACGGAGTGTATTTTTCCCCCTCTTAAAATAGTAACGCAAAACTGAATAAATTTTGTTTAATACTTTATTTTTATCATCCTAATTTAATAAGTTTATATTATTTTAAAATTTAATCCTCAATCTTAATTTTATGAGGTTTAAAATATTTTGGATGGTGAAGTAATTTTAACCTTGAGAAGTATTAATTTTTCAGGGAATAATGAATTAATTTTGTATCTTTTTTACTCAAAACCATTTGAAGATATACTCAGTTTAGTTCCACCTTTGGACAGAACTAAACTGTTGTTTGGGAATGTTCTCATTTTGAGTAGTAAAGATTGCTACGTAGGAACAGAAAAATTAATAATGTGATATTTGATGGATTAAAGAAGTTTAGCACAACCCTAAATCCAGTATTTCATTTCTCTGCTATCCTTTGTATTATTCTGTGCCTCTTAGTTCAGTTCTCTCTGCCTCACTCTTTGTTTTCTAACCAGACCAAGCAAAATAGGCAGCTCAGATAAAAAACTGTAACTTTGGCTACTTATTCTTTTGTTACTAATATTTGTAACAGAAAGTGTATTAATCAGCAAAGGTTAGCACATTAAATCTTCTTTAATTCATTAATTATGGTCCATTTTCAGCATGGCTGCCATTACCCTTGCTTCCAATGGCACAGAGGCCGCACACCATTCTTCATAAAGACAGACATTACCTTCTATTGTTTCAAAAAATGAAGTCAATCTGCCTTCATGAAAAATTATAACCCCTGCACTGTAAGGTGAACAGAGGTAGCAATCTTTTTGTTTTTTCCTATAGGCACACGGTGGTGTCTCTCTTACTGAGATCAACAGGCGACGTTGACTACAATGAAAGTAGGATTTTTTGTGCTTTTCTAAAAATTATCTAGTGATCAGTGGAAGAAGAAAACTAACAATTTGTAAAGAGTAAAGGAAAGATGACAAATAATACCATCTAATTTATTCTCAATCATTCTCCATTCACTAACACTACTGAAGATGGTTTTTTCTTTTTACTACAGGCCAACAATGCCCAGGCTGAGATAATTCAGAACACCAAAGATGTGACATCATGTATTTCTCAAAGGATACACTTAAAAAAAGCTATTCTAATGCTTACATTAATTAGAAGATTTATTTCTGTATATCAGGGTCTGAAAATTGATCCTGTACACAAAGCATTTAAGCAGTGAGCAGATACTTCACAGCATCTTAACCATACAGAGGTGAAAAGCTCAGAGTTCATCTTAGTATAAATTGCAGCAATCATTGCCTTCACTACAAATATGTGTTACCCATAATACATAAATACGGGAAGGACATAATTTCCAAGGGCAATGCAAAGATACATATATCTCCACTGGCTGGAGGGTTGTCAGAAATCCAGGTCCTGTATCTTTCTTCAATGTCAATGCATTCTCCAGTGTGTAATTCTTAAAGCCAACGTAACTCATCCAAATATGACATCAACAATTTTAAAGGAGTGCCTTGATACAAATAATGATTAAATGACATCAAACAAAACCGGAGGGCTCACAGAGCTCACAGAATATGAGTTGTCACCATTAAGTTCAACAATAAAATACCTAAATCTAAATTGGAACAGCCACAACTCAATATTTCAGCTGATAACAATTCCAAGCTTGCTTTTGTAGTATTAAATAAACTTCAGCTGTACAGTACTACTTTCAGTGCTCCTGAAATACAGAGCTAGGCAATTGTTAAACCCTAATCTTACACATGGATTGTGAAGGGAGATATTTTTTCATTCTGTGCTTGGAAAAAATGCAGATTAAGAAATGAAACATCTTTATCTGTGTTTCACGACATTCATGCAGAAACACCCGCTAGGGAGTGACAGAGAATCTGTTTCAGAACGCAATTCAATTCAGTGGCATAAAAAGCAAGGAATTCACGAACCTTGGGATCATTTAATAAGAACTGGGAGTCGTATATTGTTTGTGTCACTTAGAAAATCATTCCTCTGAAACAAATATTGAAAAATGGGCAGTTCATAAAAACTGGCATGGCATGCTGTTTAAGAATCAATGTTGTGCCATTAATTACTAAGTTTAGTACATGCACAAATACACTTTGTGGATGGTGTGTGTGTGTTTGTGTATGTGTGACAAAGAGAACAAGCAAGAGAGAATAAATTTTAAAAGCTGTGATGTCAAATATATCCCTCTACAGGAGAGAAATAATTATCATCTGGCATCTATAAACTTTCCAGTTATTATTTCTATTTCTGATGATGTCACCGAAGAGGTTCATCACTATGTATCAAGTGTGTGAAATACAACATTTTACTTATTCATAATTTTCATAGAATAGTTTTATTTATAATTTTACTCATACATGTATATGTTTATGTATTTATATACACATGTGCACACATACACACACATAAATAACTACACAGCTATGTTACATACATTACCAGATTATGACACCTGGTGTATTTATGATTTTATTACACTGGTATATCTAAAAAATGTCCCTTAGCAATTATTTAGAAACCTAACATGTCCTTGTCTGAATACGATTTCTTAAATTCAGTCCACATTTTCTTTCATTTCTTGTGACAGTCTTAAATCTTGGGATTTAGGTTTTTATCTTCAAAATTATCTAGATTTTACAAACCAGTATGAGAAAAAAATGCTGTTAAAAGAAAAAACAACTTTCGATATTTCCTTTGTTTTTACACTAAATAATCAGGCATCTCCATTACTACCAGGTTTTTAACTCTGCTAATTTAAATCCAATAAAAATAGTCACCCTGCACAAAGTCTGCAGCGTGACCATGTCATTCCAGACAAACTGGCAGATATGGAGGGACAGAATGAGCTACTATAATTTCCAGTGAAACCTAATGGTATTTGATCAGGTACATATATATATGAAACACGATCGTTGAGATTTCACAATTTGCTTAATAAACTTGTTTAAATGAGGACTTGAAAAATACC